CCAGCTGTCCATGGGTGATATCTGGGACGGGACACTGAACCTCTGTGGATCGCCAGCTCCCAAACCATCTCCAAACGTCACCTACGTGTTCCCTAGGAAGAGACTTCCCAGAAGAGAGGGTTTTCTGCAAGAAGAGAGAGGAGAAGCAAGCTTTCCTCCGGTCCAAGGGATGCACAAGGGACCAGAGGGCTGTAAATCAGCTCCACTTTGAAGCTGCTGATTGAGCTGCTCCTCTAACACCCATGCATAGAACAAGGCAGCGTTCCCACTGTTACTCGGCCAGTTGGACATGCAGCTCCTCAAATAGCAGGAGAGGCTCAGGGATGTCCTCAGACCCAGCCAGGCACACAAGCAGTTTGCTCAGCTCCATGCCTGCATTGGAAAGCTGCTCTGGGCTCCCTGCCCATAGGGATTGCAGGAAGAGCCAAAGGAAAGGTTGTGGCTGTGTTTGCTGCCCTGTCTCGCTCTGCTGAGCAGCACTGCTGCTAAGGCGGATGTGTCACCCCACCCCAGGGAAAGGGCAGCCACCAGCAGCCCACCTGCCTCCCTCTCTTTGTTATGCAGGAAACACTGATGTTTCTACTGGGAAGTTCCATCTTTTTGATTTTATTTTACTTCCCCCACTTGATTTCCCTTTCCAATACAATTTAAGGTCCAAGCATACATAACAAAAGCACTTGCAATGAGGCCAAGAGATGTTTTCTTACGGGAGGAGTCAAGTAGCCTGGATAACATATTCCTTTCTAACACTTCCTTGTGACGATGCTGACAAATCACATGGAGATGTCTCAGCCACATATTTTTACGGGTCACCTCGGGACTGAGTTGGGATGGTGGCTGCATAATGCAAAAGGAGGTTGCTAAGAGGAAAAAGAAGGCATTAAATGCTGGGGAATTCTCTTGTAAGAGCTGTTAGCAATGACCTCAGCACTGGAGAGCAAGATATGGACAAGTATTTGGCAAAGAGCTCTTGTAATGCTGAGTCTCAGGGAGTGGCTGGGTTCGTCATATTCAGAAGAACCAACTGCTGTAAGTTCAACCCAGTGGAAGCCCCGTAACAGAGTTCAGATTAACCCCTTGAACCAGGCTGCTTTCCTACCTGAGGCCATGCGTCTGTACCTGCCCAAACCATCAGGCTCAGCCCAGCCCAGCCCTCTGGCCCTGTTTGCTGCCCCATTTTGACCCAGTAACGGATCGAGCACCAAAACCTCCTGCTCAGGAGCTGCCTCAGCAGCTGAACCCTGTGATAGTGGCTATGCTCTGCTCAGCTGGAGCCACTAAGGGCCACTTGCTTTATCTTGCCCTGACATCCCTTCCCCATGCTGCAGAAATCAAGCCAAGCAGATGGTGATGGCAGAAGCAACAGCACAGAGGAGAACCAGACCCATGCTGCTCTGTGTGCTCACACTGCCAGGCTCGGACATGGAACGACATGAGTGTTGCAGCAAAACCAGGGCTGAGCTGTTGGAGTTGCTCTTGGCTTTCCACAGACCTCAGCTCCCTCCCATCCCTGGGCCCAGCAGCAGCCCACAGTTCCCAAAGCCTTCCTGGGGATGTCCCTGGGTCTACCCGGGCTGAGCTGGGGAGCCACAGCTCAGGACCTGGACACTGAGTAGGATTAAGGCAGGTCTGCATCAATCTAGCTTGCTTTTTCAGATCACTTACTAGAGACGCTCACATTCCCAAACATTATTGCGTTGATTTTCTTTCTCTTTCAAAGAAACCAAGTTAAACTTGCATAGGAGGCCATTTAGAAAATAAACAGGAGTGCTGATAAAGAACCACAAATCTGAACATTGCCAATACATATCTAAAAGCTGACACCTCCCTGAAAATAGCATAATATATGGAAAGGGAAGAGCAGGCAGCTGAATTCACAGGCTATCCTTTATAAACAATTACCTTTTATTACTAAATGCAAGTAAAATCACAGAAAGACTTTGGGAGCTTTAATGTTTGGTGTAGGACAAATACAATAAGCAGCCAGCAGCATAAACCTGACATTTCCAGGTTCTCTGTTGCAGTATGACAACGCATGAGACTGTATTTAGCAGTTACTTCTCTGTGCCTGTGGGTAATCCTTGTGCTCACAGGCTGCAGTGTTGCAGAGAGGCCTTTCCTTCCTCTGGAAAGCAGAATTGGCTTCTTTTTGGCTGATAGATACCCACATCACCTGTGACTGTTACCTTTCATGTTGCCTAAACAGAGATATAAACTGCAAAGCACTTAGGTCTGATACAAAAAACATTTGGCTAAAGAAAGTGCTTGAAGTCCTGAAAGTATAAAGATCAATGTTCGATTTAGCATGTAAAGGACTATGGTTTCCTAATAGAAAGGAGCTCCTAACTTTGCAGGATGGGGAAGTAAGCACTTTGCTTTCAGCACAACCCTGCATGGGTGTATCTGCAACTGGACTGTGCTACAGCCAGCAATTCCTGGAAGTGAAGGGAGCAGCTCAGCGTGGCAGACTGCTGTGGGTCTTCTACAGCCTGTCCTGTGCACTGGTATTCATGGTGCTGCCCGCAAGCAAGGAGAGCTGCAGTTGTGGAAACACTGAGCTGGACTGGTTGAGATATAAGCGAGCTCCACCAGAACCTCTGCAGAAGCCTGAGGGGTTTCTGAGAATCTGCAGCTTCCCAGCCTGAAAACAAGGCTGATAAGATCCATACGGAATCCTAACTGGATTTGGGATGTTCGTGGAAATCGCTGAAAAAGAGAAAAATTCAGCTGAGAGAAACAGTGATGGGAATTGGCAACCTCTTGTGTAAGTGATTTGCAACCAATTTCTTGGAACAATAAAAGCTAATCATAATTTAAAAAGATAGATTTTGTATGAGTACATGGAACAAACCTGGTCTGCATTATTTGTTTTAAAGCAAACTGTGAGAGTCCTAATGAGTACAACCACTGCATGGGGCACCTTAGGAACAGAACATGGTGAAGGGCTTGCACGGGGGCTGGCAAGAAGGCTGAGAGAGACTTTTTACAAGGACAGGTAAAGATAGGATGAGGGGGAATGGCTTTAAACTGGAAAAGAGAACATCCCACAGGTAGCCCAGAGAAACTGTGGCTGCCCCCTCCCTGGCAGTGCTCAAGGCCAGGTTGGACACAGGGGCTTGGAGCAACCTGCTCTAGTGAAAGGTGTCCCTGACCGTGGCAGGAGTTGGAGCTGGAGGAGCTTTAAGGCCCCTTCAAACCCAAACCACTCTATGATTCTGTGATTCTTGTTTGTAAACTTATGACATATTTACACAGGTCAGATCCCATTTAACTGCAGGGGCAAATTCAGCTTGACCCTGACACCACAGAAATGCTTTTCATCCACTCTCCAAGCAGGGCAGCAGGACTTCCCAGTGAGTGTTTTGTTTTGATCATTATCACTTCCAATTACATGCTTACAGTTCCCACCCAGACACCATTCCCAACAGAGCTGACACTCACCCTTTTTATGGATAAAAGATTCCTTTGCAACGGATAGGAAATCTGTTGTAGCAACACTTCTGCCATGTCCAGCTTCTCCGGGCTGCCCACGACCTCTCTGGTGTAGAGCAAGGTTTGTGTTAGTGCATTGCTTCTTGCTGCTGTACAAGGAGAGAAGCCCCAGCACTCTTAAGGCTACATGGGCCAAAGTTCTCTCTTGCTTTTCAATATGGCAGAAATTGAGTTAAATGAAATCTGTAATAAGATGAGGGCAAGGAATCAACTGATAAAATACATTTTATACAAAGCAAAGCTTTTTTAAGAGGTCGGTGCAGCCAAACCTTGTAGAAGGCAAGAACAACAAAAAAGAAATCACTCACTTCCACAAAATGATGCAACTTTAGACCACTTTAAGTTCTCAAAACACCCAGCTTGGGGGAGGATGCCAGAGATTCCCATGTATTTCGGAGGGCACATGCCTTTGCTGGTCCCAGGAGAATAGTAGGTTTTGGTTTTGTACAAAGGCACAACGAATCTGAATGGGGAGGTAGCACAGCTCCTGGACACTGAGGAAGAACATTGGGAAAAATGCAATTCCAGGTATAGCAGTAACCAGGGAGTTTCACTGATGAGTTCCCCTGAACTCCAAATGAACCTCCAGGGGCTGACCTGGTGTCTTGGAGAAAGAAGAAGAATGGGAGTAAGAGATGGTATTTTGGAGTGACTTTTTATAAAGGCTGAGCTTCGTTTCCCATTTCGAAGCCTTTTTCTTAGCCAGGTGGATGTCTTTTTGTTGGGAACCTGAAAGAATGGAAAACATGGCATGAAATGGCTTAAATGTGATAAAGGAGCAAATTCAGCTGGGAAACATGGGACTTGATTCAGTGCAAGATCATTCCAACTCACTTTGGGGAGGAGGACTCCTTTCCATTTGTTTTACTCCAAGTTTGACAGATGGGCTTTTCTCTAGGGTGCAAAGAATAAGTATTACTTAGGAGCACTACACCTTTCTTACACAGACCATTCCTTACTCACTTCAGCACTGCTTTTTTTCCTCTTTAAAATTGCAGTATGACTTACACCTGACACACCCTGTACTAAGCAATCACAGTATTTTAAGCTGGTGCATCCTAAAAACTGAATTCACAATAAATACTAAACTCAGATGTAACCACCTTTGCACGCAGGCACAGCTCTGCTCCAGACTCCCTTTGTTTGGTCCGTACTGGTGCAATGGATGCTCCCATTCCCAACAAGCTGGAAGCCAGAGTCACAGCTGTAAGTCACGGTGGAGTTATAAGCAAATGTTTCTACACCTTCACCATCATGCTTTCCATTGCTAATTTGAGGAGGTGAAGAGCAGGTAATTACTGCAGGGAAAAAGGTCAACATGAGCATTGCTAAAAGCTTCAGTAATAATGAAAATGCAAAAGTTTTCTTGAGTCCACCTAAAACTCAAAGACAATAAACTTTCTGGACAACTAAGGAGAGGAAAAAACTAGTGCTGCGATCTGTCTTCATTCTCTCTCTTTTGGCTGTTTCTGTTGTCACATCTTTCTCCTTCTCTATTCCCAGGGTCACAAAACATCAGCAGAGCACTTGCCGTGCCCTGGCTGGTGATTCCTGCAAATCTCATCCCGTTAACTTCGCTGCGGCCTTAAGTCATGAGAAACTATGTTGAACTTGTGGGAACAAAACTGCTGAAACCCAGCGTCAGCAGCACAATGGGGATTTCTCAGCTGTGGTGGTGGTGGAGGAGCTGCCACGTAACATCAACACAAACAGTGTATGAAGACAGGCTTAGATGAGACATTAGGATCTACTGGAGCAAAGTCATAAGGTTGGATCAATCTTACATTCACAAGTTGGAAGTTTACTCCATGCAACATCATTTCCTTTAAGCTGACACTGAATGAAATGACTCCCATTTAACCTGTACCTAGGTGAAAATACACAAGAAGAGAAAAACTGGTGTAAGTATTCAGAAACTGAGAACAGGTTTTTTTCCCTGGTACCCATCTGATCAGGAATGGAGAAGAGGCAGATTTAAAGCAAGCAGATGTGCAGATACACACTGATAACAGGAGAGCTCCTTCACCTTGCTCTCTGCCAGGATCCTTGTTGATCTGTTTTTTAGATGACTCTGCTTTGAGAGTGAGCATTTTCAATTGCAAGGATGGGAGCATGTGCTGAGTCCCAGACTGGTTTGGGTTGGAAGAGACCTTAAAGTTCCTCCAGCTCCAACCCCTGCCCCGGGCAGGGACACCTTCCACTAGAGCAGGTTGCTCCAAGCCCCTGTGTCCAACCTGGCCTTGAACACTGCCAGGGATGAGGCATATGAACACCAGACAGCATTGAGGTTAGCCATGGATTCCCATGGGTTCGGGTTTGCTGAATCAGCGACTATTTCTCCCTGCCTGCTTCCTGGCAGAGAACAGCAGTGGGATTGAGGCTGCTGGCATCCAGCACCTTTCCCACACCACTGTCACCCACTGGGATGAGGGGGTGAGGTGAGGGGCTCCCTCCTGAGCTCATGCAGCATCTCTAAAGGCTGGAACTCATCCCCAGCTGCTGTTCCACATCCCAGCAGTGCTGCAGTACCCAGTGTGCTGGGTCTGCTGAAAGTTCTGGTGTGGTGGTGAAGGGCAGACACCCCACAGGCCCCAGAGCTGCCTCCTCCCCAGCATGTTGCTTTTGGGTTGTAAAGATCCAGCTGTTCTGCTAAAGGTTTGCCAGGAAAGCCAACGACAGCAGCAAATATTCACATGCATCCGCTACACCCAGCAGGGACCAGCGAGGGGCAATGAGGATCTGTGTCGTTTTGGGAGGGAAATCAAAGTATTGATTTCAGTATTTCTCAATACTGAAATCTCTTCCAGTATTGAGATCCTGGAAGCTCAATACATCTTGTTCTGAGAGCACCGACACCTTCCCCAATCTCTGATTTACATCCTCCTGCTCGAAAAAATTTACCATTTGGGCATGGTCAGTAGTATCTGATCTTGCTTACATGGATAACATTATCCCTCCACCCTGATGTATTATTTCCGAAGACTAGCTGAATCCCAAAAGGGTGGGACATGCTGTCATTTCCCCAACATCCATCCTAAGGGAATATCTGGAGGAAAAACCCCTGTGTTATATTTGAAGCAGCTGCTAAGACTGACAGAACAAGCCAGGTGATGCCAGCTAATTCCTGCTAGGGAGGGAGGAATACAAGCTGGACATGCAAGAGCTTAGTTTTGCAGGTCAGTCTTCTGCATGTGGCCCTGATTGAAAGCAGGCAGAAAGCATGAGTCAGCTCACTGAGTGATGGAAAGAGAGCTTCACTGCAGTCTTCTGAACACCACTGACCTTTAAACATTCCAACATAACCCCTTTTTATTCAATATATCTCAAATATACTAAGCTGAAATATTCAAGGCCGGGTTGGACACAGGGGCTTGGAGCAACCTGCTCTAGTGGAAGGTGTCCCTGCCCGTGGCAGAGATTGGAACTGGATGAGCTTTAAGGTCCCTTCCAACCCAAACCAGGCTGGGATTCTACAAAATATTTGAATTAACTTGTTTTGAAGTCTGTAGTGTTAAACTCAGTGTACAACTAGTCCTGTTGGGGTTGATACACAGGGGCAGTTCAATCTCCTTTGCATGCCACTTGATGGAAAAGGCAGCCAGAGATTCAAACCCAGTCCTTTCCCTCCAGCTGTGTCTTATTCCTTCCCAGCCCTAAGATGCAATTCAAGCAGGAAAAGCAGCCCCATGCTCTGCACTCGGAGCAACACCATAGGGGTGATATCCAGTGAAACAGCATCCCAGCATCATTGCACTGGACCAGAGCTTGTATTCCAGCAGCAGTGTACTGGAGCTTGGGACATTGCCCTGGGACTCACCCGTCTTCACAGGACACGTTCACTCTGGCACCAAACTGCAGGTCTGTCAGTGTGACCATCCTGCCCCTGGGCAGTGCTCCTGGGTCCCCACAGGATTTCCCTGCCAGAGAATGAGGCTCATGTTAGCAGAACACACAGTGATGGGTAATTCCTGAAGAAGGAACAGACTTAGAGGGTTATACCCAATGGTACCAGAGCACTGCACTTCACAAGCATCTTGCAGGAGGGCAGAGACGACTATTAGCGGAGGTATTTCCATCTCCATACACAGCAGTAAGTTACTCAGCTGTGAGAAAGGTATTGCTGCCACACCATCAGTCTTAATATTGCATGGATTTCACCAAGAAGCATGTTTTGTCTTCATTTTGAAGTGCAATGCAACAATTGCAACTCAGCACTTGTCCTGTGCATATACCATGGCCAGATACAACCATATGGAGCAGAGCAGAGATACTCACTCCTGCACAGCTCGGCTGCTTCTGACCACTCCAGGTTTTCCAGGCAAGTGCTGGTGGGGGAGCTGTCTGAGGTGTTCTCATAGCCGGGGCGACAGACATAGCTCACATTGCTCCCAACGGGAAAGAAGTTAATCCTCTCATCCACCTTGGAAAGGGCAGCAAACCGCAGCCTTGTCGGGGCAGAGCAGCTCCCTGGCAGTCAAGGAAACCTGACCTGAAAGAGCTTGCCTTGAGGAAGCATGCAAAATACACCTTGGCATTGCAGAACTGCTCTTGCTATGGTGCCTTTGGAAAGCTCCTCATGTCCATCACAGGTTATGTCTGTTTTCTTACCAGGCTGCTGTTCTGCTGAATGCACCTTTGGCAAAGCAGGGATGAAGACGTGGTAAAGGCACAGGCAAAGCTCTTAGTAGGACATAAGGAGTCACCTGCTGCAGCTGCTTGCACAGCCTCTGCCAGCCAGGCTTTGGGAGGTGCAGAAGCATCCTGGGCTCCAGCCACCATCCAGCTGACCCCATCAGTGACCAGCACGGATCCTGCACCCATCAGCAGCAAAGAGCAGCCATGGGAAGTGGGTCTGTGCCTTGCCAGGGATGGTGATGCCACTACAGAGCAGCTGCTGTAAGGGGCAGAAGCGTGAAGCCAAGCGAGAGGCTCTTTGGAGCTGTGTCTCAGAGAAAGGAGGTATTTACGGCCGCAGGGCTCGGGCAGTGTGGACCAGCGTGCGCCGGGCAGGCACTTCACTGAGTCTGATCTCCCAGGGATTTTGATGGTGCCTTCGATGCATGTGTACATCACGCTGGATCCAACAGGGAAGCTGCTGGTGTGCTCGTCACTGGATGGCCTGGAATAGGTCATGGGAGGTGGGGGCCCACAGTCACCTGCAGTAGGAGAGGACCACTTTGGGTGAGGACTCCATTCCCTGGCCCCTTACCCAGCCCCACTGAGCATCCCAGCTCCTGGGCTGGCCCAGGCTTCTCCAGGCAAAGGCACCAGGCAGGACTGCATCCATGAAAGCATCAAGCAGTGAGTCCCCACAGGCTTGTGGATGGTGGTGGCATCACCCACCCCAGCCCTGAACAGCAAGGTGGGATTCAGACAGGTCTCACTGGTCCTCCTCATGCATCCCATGCCCCTGTACTCACCATGAGCCACAGGCATGCCCAGGAGCCCCAGCAAGGGCAGGAGCAGCATGGGCTGGGGAGACCTCCATGCACCAGCAGGTGCCCTGCAGGTCAGGGTTCCTGGGTGCTTCCCCTGTCCTGGTTCTCCAGACTTCATTGCAATGATTTCTGTGCTCCTCTGTCAAGCACCGTTTGCTCCAAGAGGCTGTTTCTGAAGCTGGGAGGAGGTGCAGCACAGCAGACCCAGCCAAGCCTCTGCAACAGTGGAAACCTCTCCAGAACACCCAGGGAGCTAAACCCTGAGTCAGGGACTTGGAGAGCAGCCAAGGGTGGGGGACAACTGTCATCCACAGCTTGGGTAATGCCTCTGGTCCTCCTGCCCCACCATAAGGGATGGGGGGATAACTCAACCCTTTCATTTGACTCGAGACTGGATGTAAGCACTAGTTTTTGTGAAAACCAAATGCTGTCAGAGCAGAAAAGACCCTCACCCTGCCCCAAGCTGTGCCCAGAGCAGGTAAATGCCTCCTGGTAATTTGCTGGCAGGTGATGCAACACGGATCTTCCCTAAGCAGAGTTAGGGAAACAAAAAATAGAAGCATTTTCCTCTTCATTTGCTGATTTGTTTCATGACTGCCTGACTCATTAATGGGTGGGAGTGAATACATCTGCATACTGACTAACACTCTGAAGTATCCCTGACATCAGTCAAGACTACTGAAACACACTCTTACATACACGTGGGATGTAACACCCAGCTCTTACTCATGCCGGTGGATTTCAAGCCTTGCACAGGGAGATAAGACACTTTCTGTTTGCAGTCGCAGGTGAGCTCAGTGCAGAGGGGAGCGAGGTGCCACAGCAGGAGGCTGCAGCCCAGCTCCCCCTGGGGCACAGGGAGAACTGGAGTGGGTCAGAGGGTGCTTCTCACTGCAGAGAATGCCGTGAGGATAATGCACAGGATGCGTTATCAAAGCATCTTTCTGTGTAAAGATGGGAGATGCCATCCCTTCCCTGGGTGTTGTGATTTAGGCTCTAGGAACATTTAAATCAACTCTAAAAGCATGCATCTGGCAATGATAAACCACTGTGAACCGCCTGGGCAGGGAATGAACTATAGAGTGGTTTATGTTGGAAGGGACCTTAAATTTCATTCAGTTCCAACCCCTGCCGCGGGCAGGGACACCTTCCTCCTGCGCGGAGCCCCTGTGTCCAACCTGGCCTTGAACACTGCCAGGGATGGGGCAGCCACAGCTTCTCTGGGCACCCTGTGCCAGCGCCTCAGCACCCTCACAGGGAAGAGCTTCTGCCCAAGAGCTCATCTCAGTCTCCCCTCTGGCAGGTTCAAGCCATTCCCCTTGGCCTGTCCCTACATCCCTTGTCCAAAGCCCCTCTCCAGGTTTCCTGGAGCCCCTTTAGGCACTGGAGCTGCTCTAAGGTGTCCCCTTCAGGAGCCTTCTCTTCTCCAGGCTGACCCAGCCCGGCTCTCTCAATCTCCCCCTTCTCCCTTTGGCTGTGCTGCTGTGCTGTGCTGTGCTCACTGTGGCTCCCTGAGCACCCCAAGGACCATCCTGGGCTGCCAGGGCTTGGCTCTTGATCAGAACAACCTTTGGACCATGCTGGAAATCTGCCAGACAGACACAAGACACCACACTGACACGTCGGGCTTTACTGCAACCCACGGGGAAGGAGTAATTGCTGCGTCACAGGGCCACATATAGTGTAAATCATCATTTATTGAGTAATAAGAACAAGCTTTGCTGTCTGATTCTCTACACATAAAGTTACAATATCTGTTCTTAGCATTTACTTGCCAGAAATAGGGGTGTTGAACATGATGCCAACACAGATATCTGAGTCCAGTGCTGGCTCAGAAACCTGTTGCCTCTTAAATCCAGGGATAAGCAGATAGAAGCCTTTACAAATGCACTTCTTCTATGTAACCACCCTAACTAGATGAATAGAAATCATGAGCTAGATTAACAGGAAATCATGTTAATCATGTTAACAGGAAATCATGTAGTTAAACCCTCACTTCACTACTGTTTCTAGATAGCAGGATTACAGGGGTACTATGAGAGGCTGAGTTCAGCACAGGCTGAGGTGGGGCACATGTGCACAAGCACCTTCAGAGAGAACCACTGGACACTCAGCTGGAAGTAGTTCACTTCTGTGCACTTCAGTCCCCCTTCTCTTGACTTAGCAGTGACTCAGAGCTCAATTGGCTTTCCTACTATGCTCCCTAATAGAAAATGTGACACAACACACTTGTTAAATAGCAAAACAAACGTGTCAGATTTAAGGAAAAGAGCAAAAATCCCTCTGGGCTCTAGCGTTTAGCACAGCAAAAGCAACCTCCCATACACTGGTTATTATTTCTCTGGCTGTAGGCATGCAAGTACAAACCATAAAGTCACTGAGAATCTTCTTATAGATACCGTGACTACACAAACTGCGTGTTCACCAGAGGAAAGGGGATCCTTACAGTGCGTTTCTGGACTCACTTGTTCAGGTTTTCTAGTTCCAAGTTTAGTTTTTTAATCTCTAGAAACAGCTTTTTGATTTCCAGCAGAGTTTTCACTTCTGCTATAGGTACTCCGCATTCAAAGACTGTTGTAATGTAGTGAAGCTCTTCGCATACATCAGCATCACCATCTTTCTTCTGTTAGAAAGTAAAGCAGAACAAACAAAACCCAGGAAAAAAGGATGTAAAAGTGCACTGCAGCAGATGGAGAGCCACTCGCTCCTCAGCTCCAAGCCTGAACTGTCCCACTTGCCATGCCCTGCCCTAGCACAGACCACATCCCTCACCGATACCATCAAGCAAGAGCTTTTAAGAAGCCCAAGCAGTTGTTTTTCATATTAGACATCAAGAAGCATCCATCCAGGCCATGGTACTTACACACTTGGGCAACGGTGTCCAGCTGCCATCAGGCAAGCATGTGGCTGTCAAAGACAGGTCTGAAAGGTGGTATCCATGGAAGCATTCGAATGTAACAGTCTCGTTTGTTTGGTACCACATTTGACCATCCAAAGTGCTATTCAGCCTTCCATTGGCCACATGTGGTTGTGGACACAGAACTGAAAGGATAACCCACAGCAGAAGGTAGCTCAGCAAGAGGCTCATCATTATGTAGATAGAAAAAGACCCCACAAAGTTTGTGATGCCTGAGCCAAAACAAGTGGACTTGAATCTGTGGAGCCATGAAACCAAATATTAAAGCCAAGTAACTTCCCCAGGCTCTTCAAGAGAGGAGGGAGGTGGTCAGGACACACATTGGATGTTTTCTGTCTCAGTTTGGGCATCCCCATGTGAAAGTCTGCAGACATCTGTCAGCACGAATACGCACTGAAGAGGAAGTCAACAACAGTGGTGTCTCCTGACCTGCCTTAGATCCTCCTTTGTACGTGACCATCTAGAAGAAACCAGCCATTGCCTGGTAGGCACCAGCTTTGGGAAGAGGGGAAGGAACTAGGGAAACCCTGAGGATAGACACAGATACATGATGCTGCACCCCAACCTCTCTGCTTCCCTGCTGGTACCCACCGGGCTGGCAGGGGGGCAGGGGGCGCCGGCCGGCGCC